GCCATAGTGCTGCTGTTTTCGATGCTTCGTCAGTATTATAATTGTTTTTCTTTAATTACTGAATTTAATGACATGAAATTTTGACATGTGAATAGTTGAATGAATACACTAATTATTGGCATACATTTTACCATGCAATCCATTTAGAAAATCGTGATATTTGACTGCTTTGTAAACAGTGATCTATTCATGGTAAATTTGTCCAATAACTATTTAATTACTAACGGAACATCATTGATACTTGGCAACATGTTGCAGACACTTACAAGGTTTGTATCAACGTGAAATTCTAGACCCCAAAGTGCATACTTTAAGAACTAAGACCTAATAAGCGTATTTTACGTTTATATTTTTATCTTTTAAACCCTACGATTTTTTCTAAATCTGTTTTTTAAACAAATATAAACAAATTCAAAACAACGTATGTAAAAATCTACAGCTCTCTATGTAAGCGCTTTATATGAAAACTAGCTAATGGCCAAACGTTCGCGTAGCGGAAACTTGAATTTCTCCGAAGTTTATGCATGCACTAGTTTTTTTCATACATACACAATTACACACTAATTTTTGGATACATCTCTTTTCTTCTAAAGTCTATGGATTAAAAGTTCCGCCAGGACAACGTTCGCCCAGCGAACGTTTTTTTACCATACACAATTATACGACGTCATACACTAAATATCTGCATAATTAAAATCTTTAAATTCAACAACATTCCGCTGCACGAACGCACGCGAAGCCATGGTGTGGAGCGAGAAGAACTAGGAAACCGTCTCCTCTTTCTGAAGGTTCAAGCTCAAGTAGTAACGTAATAAGTAGTAGTATTACGTTAGAAAATAATAAGGATTAGTTAGGGCAAAATTCTATTAATAAAAAAATAAAAAGTATGTATATACTTATATACTTTATGTGTATACTTACAAAGTTAGCGTTATTTTAAATTTGCAATTAGTTAAATCCTAACGCACAGTTTGATTTATTATTCTTTTTACAGTTATAAATTGTTTTTAAAAAGATTTAATTTGTTATTATTAACATCAATTTAATTTTCATTTTTTTATGTGATAGAGCGCAAACGAGCAGACGGATTACCTGATGGTAAGCAATCAGAGCCGCCCATGGACACCCGCAACAACAGAGGAGTTACGATTGCGTTGCCGATCTTTTGGGGATTAGAAATTTGGGAGATTTAGGGATTGGGGAGGGATTTGGGGAGGGGAAGGAGTAGGCCTCCGGTAACTTCACTCACACGGCGAAACACAACGCTGTGGTTGTTTCACGTCGGTTTTCTGTGAGGCAGTGGTATCACTTAGGTCGAGCCGACCCATTCACACCGAAGCATGGCTCTCCCACACTTGACTATTTGTTGAGGTCGAGTTTGTTCCGATGTTTTATGTTTGTAAATATTGAGCGCTATACCTACCGTCAAACTGTTGTAACAGTTTGGCGGGGTTGTAAAACTGTATTTTCTGTATAAAACAATAAAGGATTTAAAAAACTCATTACCTAATAAGTCACATTAATAACCTATTGTGAATTACCTAATAAACGTCTAATATGTTGTCGAATGCTCTTCGATAATCTTTAATACAGGGTCTTAAAAGGCTGTTTCTTTGGATCCGCCTTTGTCATCAGTGCTCTCATAGTTGTGTCTGCGGTAGACCCTGGCGAACAGGAGTTGCTTACAGAGCTACACTACGCACGAGAATTTATGCCTGGTATATGTTCTTACAATTAAACAAAAATGTATAATTATCTAAGTACAATCTAATGTTGGAGACTATCGCTGATGACGGCGTGTTCCGTGGAAAGCTATCAAATGGACTTTGTCAACCGAAACTATCTACGATCGCTACAGGCAGGACGCCGCGAATACTTGATTACACGAAATCACTAAATGTTGACACAACCTTACACAATTATATTTTGTGAGTCACGCCCACATTTGTCCTCAAATTTATGGCATTTCTTTGAAATTAAAAAAAAATGTATATTTTTCACTCACAGCATCGAGTTATGACAGGCAGAGGTTTCAGGTGAAATTGATTCTAATTCCGGAGGCCCAATCCTTCCCCTCCCCCAATCCCTAAATCTCCAAATCCCTAATCCCTAAAAGGTCGGCAACGCACTCGTAACTCCTCCGTTGCGAGTGTCCATGGGCGGCGCTGATTGCTTACCATCAGGTAATACTCGTTTGCCGATCTGTTACTTAAAAAAAAAATTATATTCTTTACCATTAATACTTTCCATAGTTTAAATGGGTGGGGTGGTCATGGGGAAACCTTCCAGAAAAGGACATGCTCCTTCCCAGACGGTCAGCAACACAATTTAACTCCTCTTGTATTGTGAGTGTCAAATGAAATAGTTGATTTGTATATGTATGAAGTACAGCCTTTTAATAAGAAGTTCCAAGTTACGAGCTGAAAGTAAGAGTGGTAATAACTTAACACAAGCAACTCTTTCTTTTCAAGGTACAATTATAAAACATAGATATACATAATTTACACGCAGTGTTCAACGCGTAGACTAGTTACTGGCTGTTCGATTACTGTTAAATATTTAAATATTGTTTTGTCTTTCGGATGTCCTCCATCCTGTATAAATAAATCAAAAATATTAATGTCCCACTATGTCGCTGCTCCAAAATCCGAGAGTCAGTTCTAAAATAATATGATGAATAATGCGAACCTTTATCCGATAAGATAATTACTGTAAATTTATACATACCTACTACTTATCTGTGATTATACTTATTAATTGAAAATAGTAGTTATTATGTCACAACTAAATATAGCTGTGCCAAAGTAGTTTTTTGTGAGACTGTTACCCTTGCTGCCGTCCGCCGTGCTTACATACTTACGTACTATGTCACAGTTCCAGTTCGAACTCCGCACCATAACGAAACTTACATACCTATGGTAAACCAAAAAACGCTTTGCCTGACCCGGGAATTGAACACTAAATCTCTATGCTCAGTAGTTGCACCCACTCGAGCAACAAGGCAGTCTCATTAATGTAAAGAGTCAGTGTGCGCAAACAATAAAGTAAAGTAGGCACACTAATCTATGTTTATATAGTATAAGAAGTTAATGCTCTCTGCGCGAACTGATTTAATACAAATTGATTGATTGTGTTGTTTCTTCAACTTTATATTGAGATAAGATACGGCGCATTATTGCAGCTCGTTACAGAGTGATAGGCGACCGGCAACACCCACACACACGCACTGTGGCTACCACGTCATCAGCCCGGTGTCAGCCAGGAGCCAGGTGTTTACTTCATCACCCGGGTCCCGTCTACGAATGACGGTTTGCTTCATGCTTGGCAAGCCGATTGGAAATTGCACTTTAAAAGGATTCGGTTTATCAAGGAATGCTGGTCTTGGTTAAATATACTCGTGTACGTCCCTCAGTCGACTGTTAGTACACCCGTCGGAAAAGTACTCAATGTATCTCCCCCATCACTACGGGCCAGATCTCTAAAAACGCTTTTTAACTTTGCCGTCGCCGCGTCGGTGAAAGACAACTTGCCCTTACCAATCCATCGACATAACCTAGTAAGTGCCTATTTTTGTCCACTAGGTGTCACATGCCACTTCCTACCACTAGCGAGGAAACGAAGCAGTAATTACTCACGCGTATAAATACATATTTATTTGAATCCAGTATATTATTAGGACATGAGTCATGCAGTAGTCTGTTGTGGCTATCAATGTTATCGTTAATCCATGTACAGATCTATCTATAATTATATTTATGGTCCTTATTATTTTGGTGTTTATTTTTAGCTGTAAGTAGGTGTGAGTCATCCGGCCGTCCGATGCACACTTTACAAGTAAGTTTAGTAAATACAACGAATAGTTTGACAACAGCTGTACCTGTATGATGCCGACCAGCTCCTAATTTGATTTCATCGTCGTCGTCCACTGCCGATGTGCTGATCATCTAATGTCTCTTTCAGATAAGCCAACATATGCTAAATAAAGAAATTGATTGTTTAACTGGTGGAAAGCGAGTAACTTGTTGTTAATTCTTCTTAATAAGAATTTATACTTTATAGCAAACAAATAGTCGCGAGCAATCAGACTATTTGGACTAATAGTTTCCAAAATTAAATCACGTAACTAAAAAAAATGACAGAACTATAGGCCATCGGGGAATTTATTGCCAAAAGAATCTCTGCATAGCGAGACAGGGCGCACAATTACAATACAATTAGCTATAAAGTACACAAATAATACGTTATTTAATTGAAAATGTTTTATGAGAGTTACACAAAAGTAGTGTAACATTACTGAAATCTAGGCTCGACACGCTTGTCCGTTTAGTAACTCAATAGATGTGTCTTCACACATCTTTCGCTTTGGAGTGACCCTCAATCCTTTAGTAAGTAACGTTCATATCAATAGTCATGTGTGTGAACGTTATTGTGTAGAATGCTGGTTGCATTGTACACAATAACGTTCTTATTTTAAATCATTTTCTTATTAAATAGAAAAGATGTCATCGGATATAATTATCGTTTTTAAGAAAAACAAAAAAAACAAAATATAATGCACACATGCGAACACCAGCCACTTCATGTATCTCAATATAAATTAGTTCAAGAGCATTTGCAGCTGGCGCCTAATTCTCGAACGTTAAACGCTGACAAACACACAATTTGATCAAGTCAATCAGCGCAGTCATGTCTATGACTAATTTTAAAACATTATCTACTCATTACATCTCGAAGATAGTAGCCACATATCGCGGCGCGCATTACTCATTAACAAATATCAAATTAGGCGATCAGTTCTTATTGTAATTACTTTTAAGTCGAATTTGTCGCGGCTCTTGATTCTTTGTTTTATGTTCGCCCAATATTAGGAAACCCTTTCAAATAATATTTTCCAGTGACTGCGTGTCGTAAGAGTGCGTGGTAGGCGGGCGCGGGGCCTTATCGTGCCGGATACAGCACACTATTTAATCAGCGGCTCGATTGCAGTGAGGCATTCGCTAGTCAGCAGCCAGACAGCAACATGATCGTAGTAGCGCTCTTACTCGTGGGGGTGGTGGCCCTGTACCTGTACGGGACCCGCAACCATAACTACTGGAAGGAAAGAGGAGTCAAACATGACCAACCGATCCCAATCTTCGGGACCGATGCAAAACGGTACCTCCTCCAAAGCAGTATCGCACAGAGGGCAGCTGACACATACTGGAAGTATCCTACGGAGAGGTTCGTGGGCTACTTCCGAGGCTCTATCCCTGAACTGGTGATCCGCGACCCCGACTTGGTGAAACGCATCATCACCACTGACTTCTCCTACTTCTACTCCCGCGGCTTGTCGCCAGCGCACAAAGTGATTGAGCCTCTACTGCGCAACCTGTTCTTTGCGGACGGCGACCTCTGGCGGCTGCTCCGGCAGCGCATGACGCCTGCGTTCACGAGTGGCAAACTGAAGGCGATGTTTCCTCTAATCGTGGAGCGAGCTGAGAAGCTACAGGCGCGCCTCCTCGACACCGCCGCCGCCGGCCGCCCGATCGATGCTCGCGAGCTCATGGCGCGCTACACCACCGACTTCATCGGTGCTTGCGGCTTTGGACTTGATGCCGATTCACTTAACGATGACTCTTCACCCTTCAGGAAACTCGGCATGAAGATTTTTAAAATAGACTTAAAGCGCTGCATTGTCATATTCTGCAAAACAATTTTCCCTGACGTGTTTAAGTCACTTAAGTTTTTGGGACAGGAACTCGAAGATGACATTCTGAGCCTCGTAAATCAAATTCAAAAACAAAGAAATTATAAACCATCCGGTCGAAACGACTTCATAGATTTCTTGATGGAATGGCAACAAAGAGGAAAAATCTTGGTGGAATCTCTCGAGGAAATGAACCCAGACGGCACACCAAAATCTGTGGAACTCGAGATGGATGATGTTCTGGTGGCAGCGCAAGCTTTCATCTTCTTCGCTGCTGGCTTTGAGACTTCCTCGTCGGCGACGAGCTTCACACTGCACCAACTCGCATATCACCCAGAAGTGCAGAAGAAAGCGCAGGCCGACATCGACCGAGTGCTCGCCAAGCACAACAACCGCCTCAGCTACGACGCGGTCAAGGAGATGACGTACCTGGACTGGGTGCTGCAGGAAGGCATGCGCATCTTCCCATCGTCAGGCATGTTGTTGCGGCAGTGCGTCCGGCCTTACACCATCCCAGGGACCGACATCACCATCGACAAGGGTGTCAAGATCAACATCCCACTGGTGGCTCTGCACAACGACCCCCTATACTTCGACAACCCTAAAGAGTTCCGCCCGGAACGCTTCGCCCCGGAGGAAGTGGCCAAGAGACACAAGTTCGTGTACCTCCCGTTCGGAGATGGACCTCGCTCTTGCATCGGTGAGTACTGCTATATTTATGTATTGTATTATTTAGATATTACCATCAAACAGATTACTGGTGCCAATGACTATTATGACAGTTTATTACTAAATACTTTGCAAGTCGATCCGTCTTCGTTCTTCTGATATTTTCTTTAATTGAAAATCTCAAGAGAAAATAATTTATTAAACTGGCATTGAGCCAACTTTCTCAGCTGAAGGCAACACAACACTCACGGTGTATGACGGTGGAAACATAGTATTCAATGATTTTGGGTTTCACAAAAAGTTTTTCCAGTGCAAGAAATGATTGTACCCAATAGTACTCAAACACTTAATTCTCAGCACAAACTTAACAAAGTGACATCTGTATGAAAGCGCAGAAACTAATTTCAGTAGTTCACCCTTTCAGTAATTTCTCCCTTGTAGGTGGATGTACATGTGTTCGGGGTGGTTCCTCCGATTTCCAACAGATGTCATTTCACTCAATTACTCGGTTAACTTGAATTTGACTATAAAAATATAATTGAAATATTCCACGTAACATGTTTATTGACAGTTTTATTTTTTATTTCCAGGAGGTCGCCTGGGTCAAATGCAGTCGCTGGCGGGTCTGGCGGCAGTGCTGGCCAAGTTCTCGGTGTCGCCGGCGCCGGAGACCAAGCGCGAGCTGGTGTCCGACCCCACCTCCAGCATCGTGCAGAACATAATAGGCGGCATCCCGCTCATGTTCCACGCGCGCCACGCACCGCCCGCGTAGCTGCGTTAGCCTGCGCCTAGTCTAGTTAATAAGCACTAGTTTGTATTGCGACTGAAACTATTTATTTATTTTGTTTAGCAATAAGGACGTTTTGTTAACTTTAAGTTTGGTACTCTCCTATGTTCGAGTAACGATCGCAAATTGGTATTGACATACATAGCAGTAGAACGATGGTAGAAACTGGCAGGAGAGTGTGACGACAGATCTAACGGAGGAGTGCTGAGGCCGAGCAGCGCACTCTATACTGACTTTGTGTATGTCGGGGCACAAGTTGAACGTAGGAGTAAATTATTGTAGCTGTGATACCAGTGTGTAGGTATGTGTAGACTACTTGTTTTGTTATTGTTAATAGATTTCTAAGATAATTTAATTGTTCTCAATGTTAATCTCTCTTGATGAGTTTCTTAATGTTACTAACAACTAAATAGTTACATTATGAAATAATTTTCAAAATAAACATATGTTTTAAATATCAAACTGTTTAATATTTCACCCTAAAACTTCATCAAGTGTATTCATATTTTGTTTATTTAATTAAACAAAATATAAAATATAAGTTCAGACAACTTTGGCCCATAGATATACTAGTATTTTACATCATTGTACCTTACTTAACAATCTTAGACTTGCTTTAGTAGAACTTCACTTACACTAAGTCACAGCGCGTGTGCGTGTGCGTCAGGATTGCTCCGCCAAGTTATCAAATCAGAAAATGGTTTCAGCCAAAAATTTGTCGATATTTGTCAAAATCGAAAGAAACAAACCCCGTATTTGTCAAAGCAGAAATAAAGAAGTTATAAGCGTTTTAAGTTGGCCGCGCAATCCTGACGTCAAGGACTGCGCGGCCACGGAGATCTCAGCAACTACTTGGGATAGAGAAATAATTCCTTTTGTCAACTCAAGTCTGTATTTGTCAAGATTTGTCGAAAAATGAATCAAAGCTCTATATCAATATTATAATAAAATATTCGCCTTAAAAGTCATGGCCGCGCAGTCCTTGATTTGCTATTTTGTTTTTAGTATTTTTTTTATTAAAATTGAAGACTTCATATAGTATAGGAGTTAAAAGGAGAAAGGTCTCAATTTGTCGAAACTGACAAAAGCTTTAAAATACGAATAAAGTGTAATTAAACAGACGAAATCAATTTAAAACACAAAACTCGTGGCCGCGCAGTCCTGACGTTACTTTAAACCATGATATCTCAATAACTATAGTAGCTAGGATTTTGCTGTAGACGTCCATATAATCCTTATATTAACCCAATTAAAATGACATATCCTTTTACCCTCAACACTGTTTGGGACGCGAGTAAACTCAAGAATTATGTTACCCCATACAATGTTCTAGTAGAGTGACCATAATTTCAAGACCATACGTTCAAGACAATACAGTCTAAGCTCATTTCTGTTCTGGTTTCTATTGTTAACTGATAAAAAACTTTTTTAATAATTAGATATTCTTATACATTATAAACAAAATGTACAGAATTATATTAATAGAATCTTACAAGTTACTGCTCGTGGAAATGTTAATTATATCTAAAATAACGTTATAAATAGATATACACTATTTTAACAATTACTTACAGTAGAAGCACTAAAAAAAAATATCATTTAAGACGTGCTCAAGAATAAATGCAACGTTACATTCACAATTATAATGATATATTTTAAAATAATATTCTTAATCTGTTTGATTCTTCACTGTTAATATAACGCTGTTATATCGTTATTTCTGTGATTATTGTCAAATAAATTGAGTATACATAAATACTCTTTATTCCCAGGGTCAGTAAAAAAAAACACTAAGGCTAAGAACTCACGGAGCGATTTTCGCCCGCGTCCGCTGCGATTGCGGGCCCGCAGCTTCTGTAGAATTCAAATATTTATATAAAAAATTAAAGCACATTTCACGACGCGTTTTACGCCCGCGGTGTACGCGGTTGTATGCGGCTCCCGCTGTACCGGCGGGCAACTAGTAGAATCGCACGGGCCGCGGTTACCCGCAGCCTCGGCGGGTGGCACCCGCGCGCTTTGCAATCGGTTGGCGAGCGACCGCGGGGGCCGGCGGGTCTTCTGTGAAGTAAATATAACGCAACGGCTCGTTTCTGGTGTGTGTCCATGGCGGTCTGGACCTCAACTGATCATTAACCGCCCGTCTTGCAATCTTGCGATCATCGCCCGCCACGTTTGCGGGCGATGATCGCAACCGCGGCGACTGTGTAACCGCGCAAATAACCGGTCTCGTGAGTTTGGAAATAAAACCACAGTTCCGCTACCGCAGCGGGCACGGTTCAAAATCGCTCCGTGAGTTCTTAGCCTGAATCAAATGCACAAGTAGGTAAATTTAATATTTTTTATAGTTCGTTCCATAATTAGAGACAACGATTTGACATTTCGAGTGTTGCAAGTTTTTTCCATTTCATAAATTAAATAGTGAAGCCCCGCGCGCGACCGGTATTGACCGAAAGACCGAAATGAAATTCTGGACTTCGTGCATTTTAAAAGCTTTATTATTTTTAGCTACTTTCCCTGGTACCTTCCTGTGCCCGTACTAACTCAGTCGCGTAAAAATCACAATGGTAAGGAGGCAACCGTAAAATAGGGACCCACCTTTTAGCAGCCATCATCCACGACGTATCGTTCATAATTACTCTTCTCTTTCCGGGAAATCTCCAACAGCTCAACTTTCAGCATAAGTTCCTCAAATATAATGTTTTTCTTTTAGCCAGTCTTGGATTTCGCATTTTTATTTTAAATTATTATTATTAATTCCACTAAACTATAAAAATATCTCCGCAACGTTGTTTTATTTTGCTCAGGGTATTTTATAAAAAATCGGTATCGGTATTTTATTTAAAACATCGTACTCGGGCCCATCACTATGTCACAAAATCTGGTTACATTATTTTGTAGTTTGACATTTGCTGTTGTCAAATTGTTGTCTCTGATTATGGAACGAAATATACAGATAAATCAGTAAAATTACTATTTTAACATTATTCTAAGTTGGTCTCTTCGGCCGCACTACAGGAGCATCGACGCGAGTTTGCCTATTGCGCTCTCTTTCTAATATTGCTTTTCATTCGCACAACTGCTGGTCAGCGGACCACCGCGCTCGCGTCGAATCGTCACGATACCAGTATTATATCTCAACGGACTGTTACTGCTGTACGTTGTGGATCCGACAGTGATATTCCGATAAAAAGGACATAAGTGTGTATTCAGTGAGAGACTTAGTGTATATTTAAACGTGATATAAATAATTACGTGATATTAATCAATATGGTGAGTTATTTATTTTTGAATTAAATTGGTTAACGATATTTATTTTGTGTTATCTACCACCATACCATGTTAAAACTTTTACCAGTTTTGCTGTAGTCAGTACTTTTACATAGGTGCCTAGTTAAAAAGTAGATCGGAATAAAGTCCTAACAAATTAGGCCTTAATGAACAAGGATGGAATTTATTGTGTTTTATATAATTAATAATATATAAAATAATAAATAAAGCCTGGGTAAGGTAAACCTTTCCCAGGCTCTCTATTTAAAAACTAAATAGAGCGTTTAAAGTTTTGCCTAAACCAGACGCAACTTTTAACTCCTGGTAATCTCAAATTATTAAAAAGCAGTTATAAATAAATAGATATTTAAAAATATACTTTTTAATTTAATTTTCAGATAAAAGCGGGTCGCAAAGGAAAAGTCAATAGTGAAAAATTAAAAAAAATATTTCTTAAGTACGGAGATGTATGCAGAAATCGCAGTATTAAATATAATGATCCAGTATTTAAAACAATATCTAATGAGTTAGTTAATACGATAGCTCCTTATGCAATCTACAAAGCATTGAAAAGGCACTACGACGAGTATTTTCAAAATGATGAAGATGATAACCTTTATTCACCCCGAATTCAGAGTAGTTCATCTTCTTCACCGTCGCGTCATAGTGTGGCTTCATTATCGCTGACATATCAAGACAAGGTGAAAACATTTAGTTTTACAATGGACGAGCATGAATGGAAAAAAATTCAACCCGTGATGGTACATTATGCTAGAAGAGATATAAGGACCTCATCGACACACCAAAAATACAGGAGTCTGCCAAAGTTTAAGTGGGCGACTTTTTTGAGAGAAAAGCTCTGGGAGTTATCTAAGCTACCATGTACTTGGAACTTTAAAAATAAGAAAGTTGACGGTGAAAATAACATTTCGTTATTTGGAAAGTGCTCACAATGTCAAAGAGAAACAATAATAAAAACCGAAGCAATTTCTGAAAAAACTGTAAGATTTACATGCGATATACTTACTTGTAAGGAAGAGAATGTACCACACAATCCTAAAAAAAAATCAAAATTAACTCCATACAAAAGAGGTAAATTAGCAAAAATTCTACAGTATAAGCCTGCCGTAGTCGTACAAAAAGAACTTGCGGCCAAATTAATTAAAGACCCAAATCAAGTTTGCCCACCAGTGCTGCCAAGTTTAGCAGCTCTCCGCCAGATCAAGTATGAGAAACGACAAAGCAAGAGACTTCATGCTCACCCAATTTTAAGTATACTCATGATGACTCAAGAGGTACAGAACTTTATCCGTGAAGTGACATTGATACCGTGTTTTCATTTATATTATTGGTCTGATCAGCAAATAGAGTACTATACTAACTATTGTAATAGTTTTTCTAAAGTGACCATTACTGTAGATGCAACTGGATCTTTTTTTCAGGCTATAAAGCTTCCCGATGGAACTACACTAACAAAACGACTATTTGTATATATTGGCATGATTGCTTCGGATTCAATTAAATCTACTCCAATTTTTCAAATGGTTACCGATTCTCACAATAAAGATTCAATTGCAGCGTGGTTAAAAAAATGGTTAATTCAAGTAAGGAGCCCGCCACATGAAATTGTTACCGATGACTCATCAGCATTAATTGCAGCTAATGTTTCAGCATTTACTACGTTTAGCAGTATAAAAGATTATGTTAAACGATCTGTTTTAGTCTTAAGTGGCCGCAATTATGCATTACCTGAAGTATTTATTAGGCTAGATACAAGTCATTTTATCAAAACAATTTATAATTTACGTTGCTTTGAAAATAGGGATATAAATGTTAAAATGTTATACGTTCGTTGCATTTTGTATATGAAAGAATGTGAATCGTTTCAGCAAATTAAAACTCTCATTACTGATGTTGTAAGACTATGTCTAACCGAATACGATAACCCAGAAAACCCTGTTTCTGTTTATATTCAGAAAATAAGTTGCACCTTAGGTAATACTACATATACGGAACCTAATGATGACACCGATGAGAAGGAAAATATTCACGAAAACATAATCCTCGACGATGATGACGGTTTGCTCTCATG